GACAATATGTTGTGATAGATTACTTCCTTACCTGTAAATACTTGTGTCTAAATTTTAAATACAGGAAAAGATATATACCTTAAGTACGTGGAAACGAATCTTATGATTATCATCATCAAACAAAAAAGCAGCAATTATGAAACTGTTTTGTTAACTCAACTAGTGCATAGAGAGCATAAAATCAGAAATAAAAGGTCATATGGGGCCAAAGGATTTTTATGGAGGTTTTTTAAAAAAAAATTGATAATTTTATATACAACTGTGTTCACAGCCATTCATTTCACAATTGTGCATTGTTGACCAAAAGACAGATTCCACAAGAGAAAAAGAAAGGAGACAAATAAAATGCAAAGTCATTTTCAACATTGAAAAACTGCCTCAAGCTCACGTTTCTCTGTTGGTGAGACAGTAGCTTCATCTTCACACCCAGATAACAATACAATTCCATTCTACTCCTTTAGCTTTCTGATATTTTTATCTATAACGGGACTCATTCAGAGCCAAACGTGTATAGCTCTTTCACCATATCACTGATAAGCTTGCTTTTCTTTGAGAATATTAAAAATAAAAGAGAAAGACAAAGTCTTCCTAGCTGTGAGAAAATAGACATCTGATTACAAGTTAGCCAAGGATTCCACGCAGTGGTTATATTTTTTCTCTTTAAGAACTTTTGACAAAATATTTGATACAGTGTTCAGATTTCATGTGTTAAACTGTGTCTTGATATTTTACAAAACAAAGAGAAACGATGCTTTTTCAGGCCCAACTTGACATGATCTGTCATTCTGCATTCAAAAATAAAATAGTTCATTCCTAGTTTCTTTGAGCTTTCAGTTTTAAATTAAAAATATGATCAGGGAATTATATATTTATTATTATTTATTCATACTAATAAGGCATCTTCCTCCCTAATGATTAATACTTGTCATGTTAAACAGAAGACAGGAAGATTATATTTAGGCAATATAGTAAAAATTTATACTTCCAAATCTTATGATATATAATTCTAATATTTTCTTAATTTCTCCTATTTAAATGTTTCAACTTTATACCAAATAATAACAATAGCTAACATTTATTGAGTGCTTTCTAAGTGCCAGTCACTTTAGGTGGTTTACTTCATTTCTTCCCCACAAGAACCATTTGAGGTACTATTATCCCTTTATACAGAAGAGGATATTGAGGCTTAGAGAATTGAAGTGATCAAACCACAGTTATGCAACTAATAAGGAAGGGTGCTAGTCCAGGCTCTTGAACTGTGCTCTCTGAGGAACGAGGTAGTGTTAAATGTGTTGATAATATTTTATGCACATTTGATGAAAATAAGTTTCTCCATAAAATTGCATTATTTGGCTTGTCTTTCAGACACACAATAACGCTTAACAGAAAGAAAACTCCAAAATCTGTAAAATATATTGGAATAAAAACAAATCCCCTGTTCAAAAATAAGAACATGGCAAACCCAATCTGACCAACCTATATTAAGTATTAATTGTTCTCTTAGCTTTTCTGCATCTGCATGGGTTTCACAAAGGACAAAAGATATGCTTGCACAGGGATTACGTAAAGCCATATATTCTATTTATAAAACTGACTCAACATTGTCAGCACTCAATACCAATGTCTTTAACATTATGACAATATTATAGTTGATATTTACCTTTTAATAAAAGTATAAATCACTGTTTATTCCCTGAAGCTAACCTCACTCATGCTAAATTATTTATGTATCCATTTTAATGTGTATTTTGCATCTGACAGGACAACTCTCCTTAGGACCCTTTTACTGACCCACCTGTCATTATGATGGGGTAAACAATGTCACCTTTCCAGTGCCCAATGAATTACAAAGAAGTTGCAAAGTACGCCATCCATCATGCTGGCACTAAGTAGGTTTTCTAAGTACATCTCAGATATCACAAATGCTGTTTAGACTGTTACCAGAAAGCAAAAATTGGAAGCTTACACAAAACAGTCATATGATGAATGGATATGACAGCTCTTCAAAGAAAAGGGGCACTCCTCTTCTGCAAATAACCTTGTCAAAAGCAAAGTAGTGGGGAGCTTTGCTGGCTGTCAGACTAGAATAATTTAAGAACTTGTTAATGGCTCTGCCTGATGGAAATTCATGCAAACACAATGTACTCAAAATCAAAAAGTAGGTATGCCAGAATCATCATCAGCAACCTCTCAAGCTTGATTTGAATTAGGGAATGTCTGAAGAGATATAGAAAAATCACCAGTGTCCTATTAATTAGAATATATGAGTTTCACTAATACAGCTGTCTAAAACACGTGCATAAAATATACGCAAGTATTCTATATGCATATAAAATAGTCACCTAGCAACTGCTATGCTTTTGAAAATCGTTATATGGTTTGAGTTTAAAAAATCAATATCAAAAATTTATTATATCCTTCATTGATATGGATATTTAAATTATGTACTTAGAGTAATAGATTTGAATTATTAATATAATTCTAAAAATAGTTATTGTTGGTGTCTTCATTTAATTTGCATGGTTAATTTCTCAAATTATGTTCTTCAAATACAAAAGTGTTTGTTTTATCCATAATTGCATTTTAGTTCCTTTAAACACTACTCCCTTTTACTTAGGCCTTATATTTCAAACACGGGGTATATTTCTACATCTATAGTTAACTTTATTTCTCCCTTTTAACAGCTACTTTGTCTTTTTCAACACTCCTTTTTAAAAAATTTATAAGTGGTAGGAGGGTCCCAAAATGACTTCTGACTTACGGACATTGAAGTAATTCCATGATTCTGTAGTAGACTTGGTTTTCTTTTATATGAGACAAAGAGAAAACTTAAACATTTATAACTCATAAGAAAAATGTGTAGAAAACTCTCAGAAGTACGGTTACACAGGAACATAAAAACCAATCCAATGGGCCCAGTGGATTATTGAAGAGGGCCACACTGAGGAAACAGGGAGACAAATTGTAGTTTCATCGCTTTTCCACGTCACCTCAGTCAAGGAATAATGAATGTTTGCTGGAAGAACTTGAAAAGCAAAAGATGGGGGTGATTCCAGGGACCCACTCAAGCTCCTGGGGTCTTGTTGTTCTGAGTTTTAGACATGCTTTTGCTTAGGGGAAGAGATGACTGTATTGGACTTGAATCAACTGGGAAAAAGCGGAGGCTGGAAATGTGTGGGGCTTAGGCAGCATTGGGAGTCTGAGAGGAAATATGTGGGATAACTTCAGAATCTTGATTTGAGACCAAAGCTTCTGAATCAAAGAAAGAGTTTTGGCAGTCTGCTTCTGTTTTTGTTAATACACAGGTGTTTTTCTATTATTGCCTACCAGAAATGGTGTACATTAATCAAATCAAATTATATTAGTCTTACACTAGAAATACTGCAGACATTTAATATTGCATTAACTTTTAATTTAATTTAATAATTTTAATTTAATTTAATAATTTAGCCAGCTCTAGTGGTCCAGTGGTTAAGATTTGGTGCTCTCACCACTGTGACCCAGGTTTCTTTCGAGCTCATGGAACCCATCTGTCAGTTGTTGTACTGTGGTGGTTGCATGTTGCCATTATGCTGAAAGCTATGCCACTGGTATTTCAAATACCAGCAGGGTCACCCATGGTGGACAAGTTTCAGCAGAGCTTCCAGACTAAGATAGACTAGAAAGAAGGAAACTGGCCACCCACTTCCAAAAAAATTGGCCCTGAAATCCCTGTGAATAGCAGTGGAGCGTTGTCTAATAGAGCGCTGGAAGGTGAGAAGATGGGGACAAAAAGATTAGGCAGAATTCTGGGATTCTGTGCACAGGGCTGTCCACTCCATGCCACTAACAACAAAAAACTGTTAATTAATGAAAGGTTCTTCAAGGTGGTGCTGGTTAAATGTATTCCTTCTGCTCAGAGGCAGAGAATGATACAATGCAGAACACAAACAGTGCTAAACCACTGGTAAACTGCCTCTCCCCACTCCACCCTTCAAAAGATAAAAACAGTATGAGGAGCAAGCATGTATTTCTGTAAAATAATTTTAAATGATTTAAATATTTCATATATTAATCAGAGTTAATAAGAAGTTAGATTATTAAAAATCTGTGCCAGTAATTAACAACATTCAGAAACATAACATTATTTAATTCGTATTAAATAAGGCAATCTACAGTTTTATGAGACTAAGTGTGTTTATTAAAATGATACTTTTAAATGGAGACAGAAAATTTGCCTTAAAGGAAACTAGTGACCAATTATATATTGTATCTAACTGGTATATTGTCCTTTCCACCGGCTTGGCTCTGTCCTCCAAGATTTACATATTAGCTAATTTAATTCTCCCAACAACCTTATCAAGTTGGATCTCTTATAATTTGCATCTCTTTTAGAGATGAAGAAACTCAGCCTTAGATGGTTAAAGAACAGTGGGTACCAGGGGAGCTGAGATTTGAAACTAACCCATGTGGCTCTAGAAGCTGTGCACTTAACCACAATGCCAAACAACCAGCTAACCCAGAAAAAGCAAAGCAATAATCCACACCTGGCTCCCTAGCTCCTGTGTGTTCCATCAAGAAAGCAGAAGCACTGTATTTCAAATCTTAAATGTGTGAATCATCACATCAATTTTCCACTTCATTTCTCGTGTGCACACAATCTCAAAACACAACTACCTCCATTTCTATTCTTTCTGTCCACATCAATCTATTAAAATCTGCCTCTTCAAAACCAAAGAATGAAATGAACTTGCACTATACGGACTAAGCAAAATGTGAATGACTCAGTCACACATTCAACACTTCGAATTAAATTCTTCTAACATGTTTTCACTTTCAAAATATGACAAGAAAAGGGTCGGGTAATCCAAATCTTCCTTTCCCTTTCCTGGCACCTCCACACAGACTATTTAATGGTTACTTTTGTAAGCTGTGTCTTGCCAGTTAGTTCAATTTAGATGAAAGCTGTTGTTTTCTAATTCCATCTCACTGTAAATGACAGAGACAAATGGTCATATTACCTCGAGAGTTCCTTTGGCAGAATAGGCTGCGTATGGGTAGAGCAGATCTTGGCTGCCGTGTTTTCTGGCTTCTTCGCTGCAAGGCTGGCCATTAGGATGAAAGCACTGGCCGCTGCTGCTCAGAGTCACAGAGCTGGGAGAAGGGCCTGGCAGACTGAGCAGCACAGAGTAATTTACAAACTGAACATCTTCTAGGCCCAAAGAAGTCCAGTGAGTCTTAATCTTCTTTGAAATTTCCACGTCATCTTCACTTTTATACAGTTGTATCAAATTTCTGAAAGAAATTTAAAAAGCAACCTCTAAAAAAACAGGGAAAATCTTTATTCTTTTGAGTTACGACTATTCAATATACAAACAATTACTAATAGATGTGGGATAAGAAAGATGAATGAGATAGGACACTGTACAAGAAACTCAGTTTGGTAGATGTGATGAGCTTGCACAGAAATTACACAAATCAAAGCAGAATGAATTAAGTTCTGAAATTAAGAACTAATAAAGCAGTATGGGACTGCAGACAAGAGAGTGATTAATGCCAACTAGTTTTTTATTAATTCTGATCCTTCTATCGACATCAACATAATCCATTTAAAACTCAGTTCAAAAACTAGGAGTCCTGCTGGTTGAGACAGTTCTGTATTGTAGTTAATATGATACCATATGAAGCTAGGTGATTAATATATAACTAGTGCTAATTAAAATGTTACAGAGAACTCTTTTGATACAAATTACATGCCAAAGTATATGATGCTATGAGTTATATGCAAGAAAATCAATCTGTCATAGTAAAGCCAACCACAGATTGTCAAACAAATATGAAATTTTTGTATGTGCTTGCTGTAGTCTATATATTTATTCCTATACCTGTTCTGTAATCCACAGTGACACTATCTACTTCTGCTTACGACATCCTAGAAGCCAGACAAAATCTGTTAAAAATATGTGTAGAACCTAGAATGGAATCAGACATGGGAAATTAAAAAATAATAATCCATTAAAATGTTGTTTTGTTTTCTCTGAGGCTGGAATGACAAGGGACCAGCCTCCTTTTTGGCAAAAATGCTTCTGCTTATAAGAATTTTATTGCTATCCAATCTATTACCTAAGTAGATATTTTTACGTCACTATTTTCGCCCATCATATTATTTTTCTCACACATACTTGCTATTTTTAGTAGGCTGTTTATTTAAGAACCTCAAAACAGAACACATCTGAAAGGAAAAAGAAATACAGACAAAGGGAAAAAACCACATACAATAGTATAGGAAGGCATTACTGGAAACAAAAGGTAGGTCTCTTGACAGCTGAAAAGCTGGTCTATACAGGAACATGCAGTAACAAAGAATTTCTCAGTTGCTTTCTATCTTTTTAAGGCTATTTCTATTTTTTTAAATATCTGTTTTGACCAATCATTAGTGCCATGTAAATTTTTTAGAAGAGCTAATTGGAAGAATTCTATTTTTTATTGTGAATAAAACTAGTTTGCCTTCAAGAGCTAACTGGAAGAATTCTATTTTTTATTGTGAATAAAACTAGTTTGCCTTCTACCCTGTTCTTTTTTTAGGGGGGAAGGCTTTTTGAGGTATGTTTGTCAAATGAAATGGTATATATTTCAAGTGTACAACCCACATGATGATGGAACATACATGCACATTATGAAATGATTATTACAATCAAATTAATTAACACATCCATCACCTCACATAGTTACCTTTGTGTGTATGTGTTGTGTGTACTGAGAACACTTAAGATCTACTCTTTTAGCAAACTGCAAGTATACAATGCAGTATTAACTACAGTAACCCTACTGTACATTAGATCCTCAGAACTTATTTATCTTATAACTGAAGTCTTGTCCCTTTTGACGAATATCTCCCCATTTCCCCAAGCCCCTGGCAGCTATGATTGTTTCTACAAGTTCAACTTCTTTTCCCCTCACATATAAGTGATACTGTGCTGTATCTGTCTTCTTAATCTGGCTTATTGCACTTAACATAGGGTCCTCCAAGTTCACATACATTGTCACAAAAGGCATGATCTCCTTTTTTATGGCTGAATGATATTCCATTATGTATTTATACGTATATATACACACCACCACATTTTCTTTATCATCAGGCCATCTGTGAACACTGAGCTTGTCTTGGCTACTGGAAAGAATGCTGCAATAAACATGGGAGTGCAGATCCCTCTTCTAGATACTGATTTTGTTACCTTTATATAATTGGTATGTTAAATATCTATTGTTTCCAGCTTTATTGAAATATAAATGACATATAACATTGTATAAGTTTAAGGTGTACAATGTGTTAATTTGATACACTTATATATTGCAAAAGGATTAGCACCACAGCATTAGCTAGTACCGGCATCACATCACATAACTATCATTTCTTTTTCGTGGTGAGAACGTGACAACAGTCTCCTTGCATGGAAAACAAACAAGCAGAAAAAGATCTACTCTCTCAGCAATTTGCAGCAGGGGGATTATTGTTAATATATGTATTGTTTTGTGGTTTGTTTTCACTTAGTATTAGGTGTCTCAGATTCCTCTAGGTTTATTTATTGATTTCCTGAGATAAGTATTTTAAAATTGTTTCCAGTTTTTCATTATTATAAACAATGCTGCCCTGAACATTCCTGTTTATGTTTCCTGATAGACATATGCAAGAGTCTCTAGGAAGACATGAACAAATGCTTTTAAAAGGGTTTTGATTACAGTCCTTCCTGCTCTGCATGAGAGTCCCTATTCCTCCATTCCTCATCAACACCTGGTGGTGTCCACTATTTTATTTTATTTTATATTTTTGCCAGTGTGGTAGGTGTGAAATTGTATATTTGCTTAACTCAGAAATAACATTACTGGGTTGCAGCCCATTAGCATTATTTAAAAGGTCCTATTTTCAGTGTATCTAATTTTTGCTTACCAATGAGGATAAAATTGTATCCTGTTGTGGCTTTAATTTCCATTTCCACGTTTACTAATGAGGATCTTTTCATATATTATTTAGCTGTCCATGTTCCCTTTTCTGTGTGATGACTGTGTCTTTTACCCATATTTATGGAAGTTTTTGTATATTCTGGATAATCCTTTTTAGATCATATATATGTCACTTATGTTCTCCCAGTTTCGGCTTCTCTTTCATTTTCAATGTCTTGTCTTACAATTAATAGAAGTTTATAATTTTACTTGGGTTTGGGTTTTTTTATTTGGTGAGGAAAATTGGTCCTGAGCTAACATCTGTTGCCAATCTTCTTCTATTTTTTTTTTTTTTTTTGCTTGAGGGAGATTGTCCCTGAGTTAACATCTGAGCCAATCCTCCTCTATTTTGTACATCAAGCCAAGCTTGATCAGCGGTGTGTAGGTCCATGCCCAGGATCCAAACCTGCAAACTCTGAGCCACCAAAGCGGAGTACATAAACTTAACCCCTACACCACTGGGACAGCCTCAGAAGTCTATAATTTTAATGTACATAATTTTTAATATAATGTAATGCTTTGTACATTTTTCTGATGTACTTCAGAAATCTCATTTTTTTCCCTAAAAGTCTGAAAGAATTGTTTTTCACATTTCAATGTTTACCTGGAATATATTTGTGTGTGTGTGTGTGTGTGTGTATGGTAGGAGGTGGGAATCCAATAGCAACTTTTTCTGCATAAATAATCATCCTAGTACACTGTTTGTCATCCTCTCCACTAATGTGCAATGACAATTCTGTCGTATATAAATTTTCATATGTGTGTGGGTCTGTCTGGGCTCCATAATTGATTCCATTAGTCTTTATGACCCATGTACATAATATGCTATTTTAATAATTATTAATTGATAATATGTCTTAACACTCTGAATGCCTAGTCCTCCTATTTATTCTTACTCAAGAACATCTTCATTATTTTCTTCTTTTTCTCTTCCATTCCAAGTTTGGAATGAGCTTATCAATTTCCTTGTGATTGAGTTACATTGAAACTAAAGATCAATTTGAGGAGAAATGTCATCTTTATAATAAAATAACAGCAATGTTACCAAATATTCAGTCAATGCTAACATAAAATATGTTTTAAAATTAATAATATATTTTTCTGCTTATTGCCGGTGTAGAGGAATACTATTCTTTTGTTCTATTAAATAATCCTGCTAAATTCTCTTACTAATTATACTATTTCTTTTTTTTTAGTTTTCTTTATTAAAAAATTACATGATAAGCAAATAAAGAAGGTTTATTACTTCCTTTCTAGTTATTTAAAGGTTTCATTACTATTTTTTGGATTACTATCCAGGTTAAAACCTCCAGAAAATATTTAATCAGGTGTGATAGTGGGCACCCATGCTGTATTCTAAATATCAGGGTAAACATGTTGCTTCCATTCTCATTTTGGTAAGAGATGTTTTATAAATGGGTATTGAATTTTATCATAAATTCTGATGCATTTATTAAGATAATCATATTATCCTTTTCTTTTTTTTTATTAATGTTATGATAGATTACAACCTTGTGAGATTTCAGTTGTACATTTTTGTTAGTCATGTTGTGGGTACACCACTTCCCCCTTTGTGCCCTCCCCCCACCCCCCCTTTTCCCTGGTAACCACCGATCAGATCTCCTTATCAATATACTAACTTCCACCTATGAGTGGAGTCATATAGAGTTCGTCTTTTTTTGACTGGCTTATTTCGCTTAACATAATACCCTCGAGGTCCATCCACATTGCTGTGAATGGGCCAATTTTGTCTTTTTTTATGGCTGAGTAGTATTCCATTGTGTATATATACCACATCTTCTTTATCCAATCATCAGTTTCTGGGCATGTAGGTTGGTTCCACGTCTTGGCTATTGTAAATAATGCAGCGATGAACATAGGGGTGCAAGGGACTCTTGAGATTTCTGATTTCAGGTTCTTAGGATAGATACCCAGTAATGGGATGGCTGGGTCATAGGGTATTTCTATTTTTAACTTTTTGAGAAATCTCCATACTGTTTTCCATAGTGGCTGTACCAGTTTGCATTCCCACCAACAGTGTATGAGGGTTCCTTTTTCTCCACAACCTCTCCAACATTTGTCGCTCTTGGTTTTGGATGTTTTTGCCAATCTAACGGGTGTAAGGTGATATCTTAGTGCAGTTTTGATTTGCATTTCCCTGATGATTAGCAATGATGAACATCTTTTCATGTGTCTATTGGCCATATTCATATCTTCTTTTGAGAAATGTCTGTTCATGTCCTCTGCCCATTTTTTGATCGGGTTGTTTGTTTTTTTGTTGTTAAGCAGTGTGA